AGAAAGAATCGTTTATTTGCGTGTAATCTTTAAAGAATGAGCCCAATAAGAATTACTGTTATTTTTTCTAGAACTTTTGAAGTTATTAACAACATTATATGAGAGTTAATACTTGATTCAAAAAACCACAATTTCCCACCAATTGTGTTACATAACGAACATAAAAAAGGCAAGAACAACTAAGTTAGAACTAAAGCGAACAGTTGAATGTAGCAGTTTAAAATTGACGAGATGAAACGCACTTCAAAGAAACTGAATCAAGCCAGTCTCCAGACCAATTTTATATATTTTTCGAAAAAAAATATAAAAATTTTTGAGACACTGGCCTGAAATTTAAGGCATCTGTCAATTTTATATTTTTGCACTCAGGAGTTCGTTTTACTTCTAAATTAGTTGTTCTTGCAATTTTATGTTTGTTATGTGACACAGTTGGTGAGAAGCTCCCCAACTGTGTTTGAACTAAATGTCTGTTGAGCAGGTCTAATTGTTTCAAACAGCTTCCCAAATTGTGGTTGTTTGAATCATTTAAGATACCTTAAGCTCTTTTTATCTAGAAAAAATATATATCTCTGCTATAATGTCGCTAATAACTTCAATAAATCTAGAAAGAAGAACAATAGTTCTTATTGGGCTCATTTTTTTAAAGTTTTTTTTTCGAGGCCGCTATAATACACGCAGTTAAACCATTGTTTCAAATGACGATTTAAAATTAAGAAAAAAATCAGGGGTTCTTGAGATGCCCTAGTAGATAATATAACTAAAAATAAATTGTGAAAACAATTTTTTTCACAGCATGGTTGTTACTCTTAAATTTCACTAAAATTGATCTTAACTTGATTTGTTTTTAAAATGGTTTTTGAAAAAGAGTTCAAAGTTGTTTTGCTGAACTTTTTGAGGGTGTTTAATGTATTTTTAGTGAAAAATCACTAAACATTCCAATATTGAAAATGAGGAAGAGATTTGTCATCGGATGTGTCGTACTTTTGTTACACGAAAACTGGTCTTCAATCCGAAACTATTTACTTAGAAGAACACTAGTTTTGGAAGCTTCATTTAGCGCTTCCTTGGCGATGAAAATTTCGAAAAAGATTTAGAAACATCTTTTGTGGATTTTTAATTAATTACCATTGATTATTGTTCCGACTTTCGATACGAAAGTAACGGAATATTTGTGCTCGGGGTGGGTTTTTTTTTCTTCAGACAAATTTCGACTTTTTAACTAGCCATTTTTGACGGAATTTTTTTTATGTCATTCGAAAGGTGTTGTCCTGAGCTTAAATTTGAAACGATATTTCACCTGTGATCTTTTTTCGTAAAGTTATGAGGGTTTAAAGATTGCCATTTTGACTAATTTGGGACAATTAACGCGCGATATAATTCGTGCTATTAACGCGTAAGCGGAGATTTAATCCGTCTTATAAATCGTTCCAAATTGGTTGAAGGAAGCTTATTTGCCATAATTGATTTGTTACAAGTAGCGAAATCTATCCTTTTGTACTTATATGGTGTGTGGGGGGATGATTTTCATAAAAAAATTTCAAATTTTAGAAAAAGAAATTTTCATTTTATTTTATTTCGTTTATTTTTTTAAATGTTATTACTGCTCCATAAACCAAAAAAGGCAGTCGGAACATTCAGGGTTTCGCCCTGATACGAGCAGTCTTGTTCGTATTCATTTTTCAAAAGTAACCGTTGTCAATAAATATAAATTAATCCTTGAGGTTCTACGTGTTTCTATAAACCTTTCATCGGTTTTTATATTGATGGCAAAATAGGTGAGAAACTGGAATTTAGTGATAAATAAGTTAAGAATTTAGTCATAATTAGTTTCATTTTAATAAATAACGAAAGTGCTCTAATTTTATTTCCCTTGTAGTTTTTTTACAAGATGGCTTAAATTCAACAGATCAACAATATTTTTGTTTGATTTTTTGAAAAGGTAATTTAATTTAACCTAGGTTTAATGTCGGCTGTGTCTATCTATACCCTTGAAACTTTCCAATGTATGTGAATAGAAACGATTTCAGATTGTATATAACAATTTTTTACTGGCAAGCACAGAATTTATCTGCCGGTGCTTCATTATTCGACTGCAAAAACCCACAGACAGCTGTAAAAAAAGTTGTTTTTGTTCCGACTTTCGATACGAAAGTAACGGAATATTTGTGCTCGGGGTGGGTTTTTTTTTTCTTAAATTTCGACTTCTTAACTAGACATTTTTGACGGAATTTTTAAATATCATTCGAAAGGTATTGTTGCCCTGGGCTTAAATTTGAAAAGATATTTCACCTGTGATTATTTTTCGTAAAGTTATGGGGGTTTAAAGATTGCCATTTTGGCCAATTTGGGACAATTAACGCGCGATATATTTCGAGCTATTAACGCGTAAACGAGATTTAATCCGTCTTGCAAATCCTTCCAAATTGGTTCAAGAAAGCTTATATGCCCTAATTGATTTGTTAATAGGAGCAAAATTATATCACTTAGTACTTATTATGACGTGTGGGGGGATGATTTTTTTCAAAATAAAATCAAATTTTAGAAAAAAAAATTTCGTTTTTTTTCTATTACATTTACTTTTGTTATGTTATTACAGCTCCATAAAACTTAAAAAGCAGTCGGAACATTGAGAGTTTCGCCCTGATACGAGCATTCTTGTTTTTTTTTTACAAATATTCACTTTCTTCGGGAAAAGATTGGCTCTTCTCAATAGCAAAAACAGCAAAACAGTTAAACTTGCAAAATTTGTAAGTTTTTTAAAAACGGGTACCCGATACTGTGCTGAGGTCATTTCAACAAAAACACAGAGAAAGTTTATGAAAAACAACTATCATTAATACGAGAACTAGATAAAAAACATTATTTGACACTTTTTACGAATCAGAGTTTTTGTTGCCGTTTCTTTCAAAAATTCAATTGATGAAAATTATATATTCAGAAAAAACTCATGTGTTGTTTTACAAACTGTTTTACTTGAAGTTAATTTGACTGAAAGATTTAAAAAAAAAACGTGCGAGAAAATGAATTTCGGTTATTTTTGAATACTGTTTCTGAAAATACGAAAGTATAGCTGTTTTTCTCATATTCAACTTTCAAAGTCTTCAGTTTTAAAAAAATTTCGTGTTGTTAATTTTTTACGGAACTATTTGTTACGCTAGTCTTTGTAATCGTTGGGAGCAAATGATTGTTTTATATACTGTTTAATAACTATTGTTCGCAAGAGTACGTTTATTTTATATAGATGATTTGTAAAGAAAAAGTACTAAAATAATCCAAACTTTGAGTTTCAATGACTTATAAGGTTCCCCTGAAGTGCAATTTTGATAGATGGCTTAATGTCAACAGTTCAACTTTTTTTCAAGATAATCTGGTGTGCTTTTCTTTAAAATTTTTTTTCTAAGCCCTGATTTTATTTGATGATTTTAAATATTTAAAATTGTGTGAGAAAAAAATTGAGTGAGGACTACTCTGAACACTAATTTTAACATTTCAACTTCTTTTCGTTTTAATAATTTATGAAATGAATCTGATTTGTTTTTAATTTTTGACAACTAAGTGTATCTGTATCACTGACACTTCCTAATGCAATTAAATTGTTACCATTGAAATTTATGATATGGCAGTTTTGTACTGGAAAAAAAAACAGACTTTGTCTGCTATCCGATAAAATGGAAAAAATTTGTACAACTGTTTAGTTTCTGAAAAATATAGTATAAAAATATTCTTGTGTGCTTGTTTTATCATAAAAATTTTGTAAGCGCTGAATTGTTAAAAACTTTTTATAATTTAAAAATGTGTGGGGAATTGAACTGAAGTTTTTTTGCACACCATTTTTTTGAAAAAGAGGAACCGTTTAGCTATTTTCTTTCAATTGTTTAATTGTTTAATTTTTGATAATTAAACTACTATAAGAAAAATTTTGCGTTCGCGTCCTTAAGACATTGTTTGTTTCGCTTTTCTTTTTAATCTCCTCTACTCTTTGTATAAAACATATGTTCCACTTAATAAGTAATTTCAAAACAAACGCGAAAACTAGACGCAGAGTTTGCACTACGCATTTGATCAATTCGAACAATTAAAGCTCCAAAATATATCAAATTGGTCATCATTTAATTTACAGAACTTCATTTGATAATGTGGTTTCTATAAGAAAAATTCAGCAACAAAAACGGTTGCCAAGCATTTCAATTGATAATGCTGTTTCTGCGAGAAAAATATAGCAAAATAAAACGGTTGCGAAACATTTAGTTTGCTAATGCTGTTTCTGTAAGAACAATTCCGCAATAAAAACGATTTCTGCAACAAAATAAAAATGGACTGAAACTGATTTGTTTTCTAATCTCAATTAATCAATGTCAGTGAGCGCGCAAAACCTTAAGCAAAATCACTATAAAATAACAAAGCGCAATTGGGGGTTAAAATCGTTAATTAGGGTAAAAAAACTAAAAAAAATCAATTTAGAGTAAAAAAATCTGGTGAGTGAAATGTAACAAGAAATTTTACCAGTACCTGGGTCGAGGTGGTTACTCAATGTTTTGACCAACCTGATCAAAAATTGGTATGTTTTGACCGTCTTGACTAAAATTTGATATGTTTCGAACGTGCTCGACCAAAAATCCGTTTGTTTTGACTGTGCTCAATGTGCTCGATTGCGCTCGACTCAAGCAAGATGTGTTTCGACCGTGCTCGAACGAAAAAAAAGTGCTCGACACAGGTAAGGTATATTTCGACCGTGCTTGTATGAAATCGGGTATGTTTTGACGTTCAAACAACATGGGTTATCCAAATTCAAAAGTTACAGTTTATGCTTTTCTGGGTAACATCTTGTGGCGTTTTTTTATCAGAATGGAACTATTAGAGTCATTGGCAATTTAAATGCTTTGTAGATGAATTAGCTTTGAGTTTCTGTCAGAAAGTGCATACGATATTTTTTTTTGAGATTTTGAGGTCCGAAAGTGCATAAGATTTCGTTTTCCATCTTTTGGATCACTAGTTTGCAATTTGAGTAGACAAAATGTTAATTTTTGAAACAAGTTTGAAACAAACGAAAATGTTAATTTTTGACTCTGAATTAATGCGGGACAATCATTTTTTGACTGTGTTCGAGGGTAATTTTGGCCGAGCTTGACCGTGGTCGGCATATTTTTTGACCGTTCTCGACCTTGCGCAAGGTATGTTTCGATCGAGCTCGACCATGCCTGAGGTCAATTTCGGTCAAGCTCAACCGTGTTCGAGGTATTTTACGACCGTTCTCGACCTTGCGCGAGGTTTGTTTCGATCGTGCTCGACCGTGCTTGAGGTCAATTTCGGCCGAATTCGACCGAGTTCGATGTATTTTTCGACCGTTCTCGACCGTGTGCGAGGTATGTTTCGGTCGTTCTCGCTGTTGCTCGCTGTAAATTTCGTAGTTGTTAATTTCGTCGCTGTTAATTTGCTCGCTGTTAATTTCGTTGCTGTTGCTCGCTGTTGCTCGTCGTTGCTCGCTGTTAATTTCGTCCGAAAAGGTTATCACATCGTCGTCTTCAAACTTTGAATCTAAAGCTGCCAGAGGCCCACTAGTGGTGAAATGTTTCGGTCGTTCTCGCTGTTGCTCGCTGTAAATTTCGTAGTTGTTAATTTCGTCGCCGTTAATTTGCTCGCTGTAAATTTCGTAGTTGTTAATTTCGTCGCTGTTAATTTCCTCGCCTTTAATTTCGTCGTTGTTGCTCGCTGTTGCTTGTCGTTGCTCGCTGTTGCTCGCTGTTGCTTGTCGTTGCTCGATGTTAATCGTCGCTGTTGCTCGATGTTGCTCGTCGTTGCTCGCACACTCTGAAGCACACTCTAAATCATCCGAAGGATCAGGAAGGATGATTTCACAGAAGGAATGATGTTGCAAAATACATTGCTTCCAGTCCCCGTCTTCATGGAAGTATTCCCAGCCAGTCAGTGGAGGCCATTCGGTTATTGCTTCAAGCTTTTGACGAGGTATGTTTCTCAACACACAGCTATGGTAGTCATCATCTTCTCCCACTCTAGTTGAACAGAACCAGGCGTTGCCAGTTGACTTGTACAAGTAGAATGAAGGAACACTCCCCGGATCGAAGTGAGTGGTAAGTTTCTGGTATGAATATGGTAGGTTTCTGTTCTTGCACACTTCAAAACGTGTAGCGTAAAAAACTGGGTTTTTGTCGGTTGTTCGTTCAAACTCAATGCCTCTCATGAGAAAAGAAGAAAGTGCATACGGTTTCATGGGCCCAAATTTTACTGTCGTCTTGGATTTTTTTCTTTCGTAGAACAAAATCCTTCCAAGCGATTGGACAGCCACTACATCTCCGTCGCTGTCTTTGTAAAGCATCGCTGACTCTCTCACATTGTTCCCTTTATATTTTCGAAAACCTAGATTAAGTAGAGTAGCATTATCTTCATCATCAGGGATCAATTTGGAATTGCACTCTATTTCAAACACCATTGGAAGCTCTTTATTTGGACTCGTGTATTTGTTGCCTTCCGAAATGTAAGGATACAGACACTTCAAAAGGTTATTCTTCACTGATTTTATTTCCAACTTCTTGGTGTCCCTGTTGAGGCTAAAAAGGCCCACTTTAACATTAGCATGGTATTCAAGAAAGTCATAGCAATCACGTTCAAGTTCCTTCGCGATTGCCTTTTGTTTGTTGTCATCAAGAACAGAAAATGGTTCGATCGTTCCGCTTTCTTTGTTGTAGGACAACATCGAAAACTTTGCCAAAATTATGATCTGAAAAGCTGTTTCAACTTGTCTCAGAACTTCTAAATCTGTTCCTTGAGCTTTAGCGTATTCGTATGCAGTTTGAGCATCCTCCTTGGCTGCACGAAACTCTCCAATAGCTTCATCGACTAGTTGGTTTTCCAAATAGTTTATGGCAGTCAATACTTTCTTGCCGGCCGTTTTCAGAGGAGTTGAAAGGATAATTTGAACCATTTTTTTGATTTCCGCCAGTGTCTTTTTCATTTGAGCAAGAGCAAGTGCAGTAAAATTCATGGAAGAAAATGAGCTGCCAATTCCTATCACATGATAGGAGAATTCTATAATTGCAATGTAGCTCAAAGAGTAAGCCAATTTCTGCGTGGTTTCCCCTAAAAAAAACATTCATTTATTTTAATAAAAAACGATAAGTTATTACAGTCACGGGACATAGAACTTACACTTTTAGTTTCCAGGCGATAAAATGAACAGAATTATTTTGACATTTGTGATTTTTTTCGAAAACTACTCCAGACTTACAGCCCAAATGTTGACATACGATGGATCAAACTGTATTTTAGGTTAAGGCCGGTTGAAAAACCCTTTTAAAGGCATCGTTTGTTTTTTTTTTAATCAAAGGAGTCTAAAGGAGCCAAGAAGTTCACATTAAATGCAGAAGAACTTGAGACAAAAGTGTAATACTACGAGTAATACGAGTAAAACAAAAGTGAACGCGCGAAAAATAAAACACAATTAATTGGTGACATCTTTGAAATACAAATTTTAAACAAATGGTTGTCAAAACTACTTGCATAGTGGAAATAGTTAACAAGGTACAAAAAAGGGTGAAATAGTTAACAAGACCCGGTTTTTGATCCGGCTTGAATCTGAAAAACAATTTCATCCAGGATGTCAAATTTCATTTATAATCTTCCAGTAGTTGTGAAGAAAAACGTACGAAGTGAAAACATAATTGTGACCACTACATTGCAAGAAAACTAAAACTTGCACTTCTATGTCTGTTGACTGTAGTTTGTTCAAACGTACCCAGGGAATTTTCTGTGCAAGATATGAAATTCTTTATTTCTTACATAAGTTCAATCTCAGATCTGAAACTCTTTATTTCAGATCTTGATAAGAATATACAAATTTCAGGTCTGAAATTTATATCTGAAATAGAAAATTTTAGATCTGAAATAAGCTTGAAAAACAAAATTTCAGATCTGAAATCAGATCTGAGAAAATCCTTTGTTAAATTATGGTTTATGTATTTCCAGCAAACATTAGAGTTTTTATTTCTTGATCTTTCTGCAATACGCAATTATGTTTAGATTAACTAGCGGTAGAAAAACTTCCGACCGAATAATTTCACAAACAGTTTTTTTTCGAACTAAGTTTCTTGTTCAACTGTGTTAAAAAGTTTTCAAAAACTGTTAGAAGACCTGCCGAATTGTTGGTTGTCATGTCAGAATTGTTGATCATATCAGAATCATTGATTTTTCAGTTCTGAAATAACCAAGAAGAACTAATTTTCAGATCTGAAATTAGATCTGAAATAGAGTTTTTCAGATCTGAAAAAAAAACAAGAAAAACTAAATTTCAGATCTGAATTAACCAATCCTTGAAATATCCAAGCGTTACTTAAACATTTCCTTACCTAATTCAGTTCTGAAATTTAGATCTGAAAAAGATTATTTCAGATTTGTTTTAGAAAGTTTCCTGGGAACGGACGAACACTGAGCAATTTTTTTTGTAATGCAGTGTGGTGACATACGTAGCCTTTGCTTTAAAATGGTATCGAGTCAATTAAGGTTTGCATGTAATTTAAGGTGTTTGCAGACGCATTTGAAAAACTTAAGACTATAATCTGTAAATAATGTGAATGAACGTTGACAGGTAGAGCGAATGTAAAATACTATTTAAACTTTCTCAATTTGTCGCTTAGATTGTACAAATTGTAGTTTTCCTTTATTGAACAATTCGGTATCTGCATCGCCCTTGTTTTGATATATTATAGTAGGGTAAAACAGTTAAGCAAAAATGAAACTTCACTTCCAAGAGTAGCCATTAGTTTATTATCGCGTCGCGTGCATCATGAGTGTCGCGACCAGTCGCATCGCAAGGATCATGATGCAAGGGTGCTAAAAGTGAGTTCGAGGAATTAATATAAGAGTGCGGTACGTACAACGAGCAGAACTAGAGAACGGTTAATAGAACTACTGGTCAACAGATGGAAAGTTTCTAAAATGAGAATTAAAAAAAATTCTTAGGAACTAGAAAAGAAAACTTCGAAATTTGGGTCAAGGGAAATTTTGTATTTCAGTTTTTTTATGATAATTTGAAATGATTGTGCTATTGTTTTCGAATCTTAAGTAAATTGGTTTGTACGGTGAATGTGAATTGCAAATAAACCTTTCTCACTTTGTTGCTTAGATCAAACAGTCTATCTTGTAAAATACTTAAGCTTTGAATACTTATCTTTGCTTAGAAAAATTAAGTGACAAATTCATTGTCAAACAAAAGGTAGATTTGTAAAATTCTTGAAAACTTAAAAGTAAATGACTTTGTTTAGGTTGACACATTTAATTTTGCCAGATCTCCTAAATTACAAAAAAAAAGTTTTTTCTTAAAAAATTTCTGCGTAAAAAAAACGAGCCCAAAATAATTATAAGCCTACAGGCATAAGCATAACGTAAGTTAAGATTGTTCACTCGCTCGCGTAATTTGCTCTAATTTAAACAAAAAATCAAAAAATTATATTTGCTGGAGAATGTTTTTGAAACTTACTTTAATTTCGCTCGAACCACGTCTGAAAAGCTTTCAATATTAAGTTTCACTTGACTCATTTCTATGAGTATTTTTCATGCCTGAACTTGCATGAAAAATTTTTTATTAATGGCGGGCGAGTGAACTTATAGATGAACACAGCTTTTGAACAAGATTTCAAACTTTAAAAAGACTGACTGCTTGATCTATTTTCATCGAGATAAAGCTAGCATTTCAAGTCTTACTAATCCAACTAAAAATATAATTAAAATACAAAAAACTTGTTTATCACTGATTTGCCCGAAACCATTGGTATATTTTTCTCTATGTTAAGTGCAATTATTAACCCGAATTCAAAGAAAAGAAGGATTATTTGTGCTCGGAGTGGTTTTTTCTCCAGAAAGATCTCGATTATGTAACTGGCAATGTTCGACCGGCAATATCGTTGTCCTCGTTGTCTTAAGCTTAAGTTTAAAAGAATGTTTCTCCTCTTTTGACAAGCCATTTTTGACGAATTTTTTGGCAATCTTTAAAAAGGTATTGTTGTCTTGAACTCAAATTTGAAAAAATATTTCACCTGTGATCATTTTTCTTAAAGTTACGAGGTTTTAAAGATTGCCGTTTTGGCCAATTTGGGACAATTAACGCGCGATATATTTCGCGCTATTAACGCGTAAGCGGAGAGTTAATCCGTCTTAAAATCATTCCAAATTGGTTGAAAGAAGCTTATTTGCCATAATTGATTTGTTACAAGGAGCGAAATCTATCCTTTGGTACTTTATATGGCGTGTGGACGGATGATTTTCATAAAAATTCAAATTTTAGAAAAAAAGTTTTTCATTTAGTTTTATTTCATTTAATTTTTCAATGTTTTTACTGCTCCATAAAACTTAAAAGGCAGTCGGAACATTCAGGGCTTTGCCCTGATACGAGCAGTCTTGTTAAATATTTATGAGGGTTTAACGATTGCCAATTTGGTCAATTGTTCAAAAGTAACGCGCTATATATATATATATATATATATATATATATATATATATATATATATATATATATATTTACGTTACGCAAGATATTTACGGCTAAGCGGAGATTTAATCCGTCTCTCCATAAAATCGCGTTCCAAGTTGAATAGAGGTATGCTTTTCAATCTATTTTTTTCAGACTTTCGTTTGTGCTCGTGGTGGGTTTTTTTTGTTCAAACAATATTCGACTTTTTAACTTGCCGTTTTTGACGGAATTTTTTGTATCATTCAAAAGGTATGGTTGTCTTGAGCTTAAAGTTGAAAAGATATTTCACCTATGACTATTTTTTGCGAAGTTATGGGAACTTAAAGGTTGCCCATTTGGCCAATTCGGGACAATTGATGCGCGATATATTTCGCGCTTTTGATGCTTAAGCGGAGATTTAATGCGTCTTAGAAAACGTTCCAAATTGGTTGAAAGAAGCGTACATGCCATAATTGATTTGTAACAAGGAGCTAAATCTATCCTTTTCTAAGTTATATGGCGTGTGGGGTGGTGATTTTCATAAAAAATCTTAAATCTTAGAAAAAAAATTGTTGTTACTGCTCCATAAACTTTAAAAGGCAGTCGAAACAGTCGGGGCTTCGCCCTGATACGAGCAGTCTTGTTTATTTAATTATTTGCTATATGCAAAACATATCAGTTTGTAGTACATATAGCAGTTTGTACTACACATAGAATGATTTTCAAATAAATCTCAAGAAAGAAGTCGTATTTATTTCTCTCTTTTGACAAATTTGCCATATTGAGAAAAATAACAATTCATTTTTCTAAAGTGACCACTGCGCCGTAGACCTTAAATTTTTACTTTGTACTTCACATAACGTAGACCTTAAATTTTTACTTTGTACTTCACATAACGTCGAAACAAAAAGTCCACAAAAAATATTTCTTTCTGACTTTTGTTTTTGAAAATTTGTCAATTTTTGAAGCGAAAACTATGCCATTGAGCTCATCAGGCAGCCGGAGCATTCAGGGCTCATTCAGGGACAAAATTTCCATCCTTTTCTTGAAACAAAAACAATAGAATAAATGTCTCATTCGATTGCGTATCAAGGCGAGTACTTATCATATGACTAGAATCAGCTGCAGAGAAGAGGTAAAGACGATCCGAAAATAATTCACCGGAACATTTGGTGCCGCCATACTTGGGACTTTTGAAAACTTCAAATTCAAACTGATCAATTATAGTACCATTGATCATCAGAATTCAAAAAAGCTAGCTTTCAAATAGAAGACTATTTGAGCAAGTCACGTCTAAAAGCTAAAAGCAACATTGATTTATGACTTATGGCTTGCGCGACGATGACTTACCACACAAGTGAGATTTTCGGCGGTACAAAGGCAGGCTGTTATATGAGCAATAAAGAGACGGCTCTTAAACAAACATCAGATTTACCAGGCAGCCTGCTTTTTTTGTTGAATAGCTTTTTGTTGAAAAATTAATGATATTTTCACTCAAACTCTACAGACCAACTGTTTTTGTCTTTCCTCAGTTCAACAGTTAACAGCTACCCCCGACAAACTTTCTCGATGTATTCAACAAAAAAAGCAGGAACTATTGAGTCTTTGATGCCAACAGACATCTAAAGAATTGAGT